TGAACAAATGTTTTAAACTTTTAATATTTGACAAACTTTCTAATATTAAAAATTTCAAATTACTTCAAACTAACTTTTGTAGTAGGGCCTCTAAAAGGCCACGAAAAACATAGAAGGTTTATGTGGTATGTTAAAATCACAGAGAAATATTGCCAAATTTGAAATGGTATTTAATTTTCCTTGAGTTACAGTTATCTAAACATGTTATTAATAATACGTGTTCCAAAATTATATGAGATTCCTAAAAATCTGATATATATCTGGAGATATATATCTCCAGAATTTGAGAACAACTCAGTCCCATAGGCCCAGTCTGTTCTCCATTGCCAATACTTTGCCGCTAAAACTGTACAGACATCCTCCCTCTGGACGTAGGGACTGCCATGGAAGAGGTGGGTGTTGGAGATGGTAAGGACCAATTTTGAGGAATAAAATTAGTCCAGACCCTCCAAATCAAGGACCCACACACAAATGCCTAAACAGCTGGCAAACTGGGGGACTTTGCTTCCTTTCTGTCCATCCCAACCCTAAAAATGTTCCTGCTTCCCATATACTTAAAAGAGAATTACTGGCTGGGCACAGTGGCTCACGCCTGTAGTCCTAGCACTCTGGGAGGCTGAGGCAGGTGGATCACTTGAGCTCAGGAGACCAGCCCGAGCAAGAGCGAGACCCCATCTCTACCAAAAATAGAAAGAAGTTAATTGTACAGCTAAAAATATACAGAAAAAATTAGCCGGGCATGGTGGCGCATGCCTGTAGTCCCAGTTACTGGGGAGGCTGAGGCAGAAGGATTGCTTGAGCCCAGGAGTTTGAGGTTGTTGTGAGTTAGGCTGATACCAGGGCACTCTAGCTGGGGCAACAGAGTGAGACTCTTGTCTAAAAAAAAAAAAAAAAAAAAAATTACTAAGGGGCAATCAAGATACATGGCTATAGAGCCTTCCTTATTGTTATTCCCAGTTATGGGGTTTACAAATAAAACTAGGATAAAAATATATCCAGCCACCTTAGGCTCAAATGGCTTTAACAAAATGCTTATGTTTTATTTTGCAAATTGCTACAAGTCTACAGCTAAAGCCAGAATTATAATAACTCAATGTTTATAGATAAGTTAAAACCTTGCCTTTGGCATTTTGATTTTCATTCTTCTATTGCCTAAAAGGTTTCAAAGCATTGATGAATGCCTGTCCACCTCCATTCCCATCTGGCCCAAAATATTTGATTGGCTTTGTAAGCCTTTGGTCTAAGTCCCTTAGCCACAGGGGTCCCACTGAGGGCTCAGATGGGCCTGGGCAGGTGGCCACACCACCCTGGCAATGATGAGACAAAATAAAAGTGTGGCCACTGATGCCGCCTCTGGCAAATCTTGGGCAAAATGGGGAATTGTAAACTAGAAATAAAATTCTAAGGCCCCCAGCCAAGTGAACAAACCCCCTCTTGGTCAAGGGGACCCAAACACAACCTTAAACCTGAGTTCCTGGTCACGAAGGTGAGGTCAGACGTGCCTCATTATACCCCCACCCTTTTAGAGTTTAACATTAACGTTAAGGTGGAGATCATAAGACTGATAGAACAGACTTGTGACAATAACACATTTTAAACAGAACTTAAGACCATGCCAGGCAAGGATTAAGGTGCTGCTCCAAAACTATAGATAAAAGCACTCAGTAACTGCATTACAACATGCAAATGCAGGCTGGGCACCCCATTCAGATTCTCCCACAGGGCCCCTGGGTACCCTTGGCAGGGGAACAAACTGACCTTCTAATAGACATGGGTACAACCTACTCAGTTATTAACACCAAATTGGCATGAAAGCCTTCTCTGTCTATTCCTGTTCACTTCTTCTCAAGTCCTGTATAGAGCAAAAATTGTATCTGATCCGTGTCAGACTAAGCCCGCTGTGTGTCTTTCAGATGTGCCACCCCAGAAAATGATGCAACTAAGGGGATCCCTCCTAATCTATGAACTATAATAGAACCAGAACTAACAGGTCAATAAGCCAAAAGATAAATCAGGCTGATTATCATTTCAGTATGAGTCAGTTACAGATGACTCTGAGAGGGTTGTGTGCCCCTCAGAGATACATTTTTATATGTAGTTGGGATAAAGGCCAATGGGCCTCACCCTGCCTAACACTCTTCAGAGATTTATGCCTCAAGGGACTCCACAGTGATCCCCTTTTCTGTCCATAACAGGTTGGAGGTTGCCCATTGGACCAGTTCCCCAAAATTATTTACCAGAGTGGTCAGTGACTTCCTGGGGGAAATTCCAGATGGAGATAAATATTTCTTTAGTTACTCACTCCTCCCTACTCATCAACATGTACTGAGAAATTTATCTAAAACCTTAAATGTTATTGCTAATAAAACTGCCCTTGCTCTTGCTAGTCTATGAAAATCATTTGACTCCCTTGCTAAAGTAGTGCTTGATAACCACATTGTCCTAGAGTACATGCTTGCAGAACAAAGAGGAGTCTGTACAGTGACTAACACCGCTTGTTGCACTTATATTGATTCCTCCTTGAAAGAGACAAAAGACACATATTGACCAAATTAGGCAACAGGCTACCTGTCTCAAACAAACCTTAGAACACCAAAGCAGGCTTAAGTCTGGACACTCTTGGAGACTGGTTTACAGACCTATGCTCTTTGATTCCCAGTGCAATCTGGTAAATTCCGGAATGCTTTTTCTTTTCTTTTCTTTTCTTTTCTTTTCTTTTCTTTTCTTTTCTTTTCTTTTCTTTTCTTTCTTTCTTTTCTTTCTTTCTTTCTTTCCTTTCTTTTCTTTCTTTCTTTCTTTCTTCTTTCTTTCCTTTCTTTCTTTCCTTTCTTTCTTTTCTTCTTTCCTTCCTTCTTTCCTTCCTTCTTTCCTTCCTTCTTTCCTTCCTTCCTTCCTTCCTTCCTTCCTTCCTTCCTTCCTTCCTTCCTTCCTTCCTTCCTTCTTTCTTTCTTGACAGAGTCTCACTCTGTTGGCTGGGCTAGAGTGCTGTGGTATCAGCCTAGCTCAGAGCAACCTCAAACTCCTGGGCTCAAGCAATCCTTCTGCCTCAGCCTCCTGAGTAGCTGGGACTACAGGCATGCGCCACCATGCCCAGCTAATTTTTTCTATATATTTTTAGTTGGCCCATTAATTTGTTTCCATTTTTAGTAGAGACGGGGTCTTGCTCTTGCCCAGGCTGGTGGGACACATTCTTAAATTAGGCTTCACTGTTCTTTTGGTTACGATGATATACACACTAGCAAAACTTATTATATTATATAGTCTGCAACCAAGAGCTGTATGGGTCTGACCACAAGCAAAAAAACAAAATAGGAGATGCCTATGGTTGTTGCTCCAGACAAGGGCACTAGGAAATGTTTCTCCAGTCAGATCAAACAGTTTCATTCCACGGTTGCCCCTTGTCCACCTCGCTCAGCAGGAATTAGTGCTGAGACGCCCCTGCCCCAATTCCACACAGTGGTGGAATGAACCTTTGACAGTGGGGAAATTGTAGCAGTGGAAGGGAGGCTTAACACAGCTACCTCCATTTTGCTACTGGCCCCCTGCGGTAACATCCTCTAGGTCAAAAGCTTCTGCTTAGCTCTGCACAGAGGCTAAAAGAAAGGTGACAACCGCACCTTTTCTAAAACTAATTCCTGGGGAGATAAAAAAAAAAAAAAAAGTATAGTATACACACAAGTAGAAACATCCTGTCCTCCGTCCTCCAAAGTTAACTGACCAAGATCAAAGAAGTTTTGTAACCTCCGCAGCCCTCGCTGACTGACGCCAGTTGTCTGCTGCCCTTGCTTACCTCTTGAAACTCAAACTCCCCTTCCCCTTCCCTTAAGATGAAAAGGAGCCTAAAGTTCATACTAACTTAGGGTGGTTCTTTGGGACACTAGTCCGCCATCTTCTCGGTTTGCTGGCTCTCGGAATAAAAGTCCTTTCCTTGCCCCAACACCTTGTCTCTGGACTTACTGGCTGTCCAGCAGCAAGGGGTACGAGCTTGACCTCAGTTACAGTGCCATGAGGGATGTTTGTTACATCCGTAACTTCACGCTGTGCCCTGTAACAGGGCAGGCCCACATGTCACACAAGGGAAAGCCCTAACCAGAGACCAAGAAGGAAATGCTGGTTTCAGACAAGAGTTGCTCAAATCAGTGTAGGAAGTTACAAATAACATAAGCTAACATTCCAACAGACCAGTTCACAAACTGCAGCATTCTCTACGCCAAATTTCATTTTAATCAAAGGAACGATGCACTGATAAAATTTTTCCTTGTAATGTTATTTATTCTATAAGGACTTGAGGACTACATATTTATTATGCAAGACTTGGCTACTTTTAGAAACAGAAATATATTTCTAAAGAAACGAACACATAACAAAAATCAAAACCTCAATAACAAAGAATGGTTATATTGAGGTGGTGTAACTATAGATAAAACAGGCCAGCCACAGCGCCCCATGCCTACAGTCCCAACATTTGGGGAGGCCGAGAGAAGACTCTGTCTCTCAAAAAAAAGAATTTAAAAAAAAATTTTTAAATAAAGAAAATAAAAATATTTAAAAATATATAGATAATACAAATGGGGGGGCATGTGAGTCTCTCAAATTTTATGCAATGAGCATATATTACTTGCGTTGTTAGAAAAAAGGAAATTTAAAAATGCCGATTTTAATGGGATGGTTCATAGATCTTCCCTGCTAATAGGCTGTGGTCAAATGAGCGGTTTCTTGGAGGTACCTTTCTATTCTACCACATCAGACATTTGCCCTGAGGTTTCTGGAAGATTCTGATCTCTAGCTACAGGGAGTCTCTGTGGACTAGCATATTTCTGGTGGTAAAATGCTATGTTGAAGTCTTCCTGGTTTTTTATTAACTTTCATTTTCCCTGGCATGGTCAAGAAATCCAGGCAGAAATAGCGCCATTGCTGACATGAGTTTTTACATGTTTCTAAGAAAAATCAAAGGAAAGATCAGCGCATAGGGTGGGGGCACAGGGGACACTGTTACTTACCCGCCTTCAGATCAAGTGCCACCAATCCTCTGGAGGTAAGCGGTTCTAGAGGAAATTGCCTGAAAACAAAGTTTTAGAGAAATTAGAATCCTTTTGCGCGGGAAGAGAGCTCAAGACTTGCTGGCTGTTTGCATGAAAACTGGATCTTCTGGTCTGATATTAATTTCCTGGCTGATGTCATCATTGCCTATCTGCCTTTTCCCCCTCCCCTTTTCCTGCGTTAAAAAAACCCTGACAAACAGCGTCCCCTAGTGGCAAATTTACAATTTTCTCACTGTAGAGCACAGGGTTTTCCCAGGTAAAGCCAAAGGCTCCTGGACATGAACTCCAAGTGTTCCACTCTTTTCTTTGGGTCTCAGTTCCCTTGGGAAGTCAGAAAGGGAAATATTTATTTTCCTAACCATTTCCTTCCCCAAATTACACCTTTAAAATAAAACCAAAAAGCTCATGAAATAGTAGTCAATCATCTTGACCATTTCTTAAGTTCAAATACAAATAAACAAAATCTTTTAAAGATAAAAAAAAGGGTGGGGGGTGAGACTATCAGCCCATATGGAAGCATTTACAAGGAATTCAACCAAATAATGGTAGAGAAAACTGACAGTGTCCACTCTAACCCTGTAGTGTTCAACCCTGTAGCAGAGAGATCTTGAAGATATAATTTCTTTTTTTTTTTTTTTTTGAGACAGAGTCTCACTTTGTTGCTAGAGTGAGTGTCGTGGCATCAGCCTAGCTCACAGCAACCTCAAACTCCTGGGCTCAAGCGATCCTCCTGCCTCAGCCTCCCGAGTAGCTGGGACTATAGGCATGCGCCACCAGGCCCGGCTAATTTTTTCTATATATATTAGCTGGCCAATTAATTTCTATTCATAGTAGAGACAGGGTCTCACTCTTGCTCAGGCTGGTTTCGAACTTCAGCCTCGAGCTATCCACCCGCCTCAGCCTCCCAGAGTGCTAGGATTACAGGCGTGAGCCACCGCGCCTGGCAAAGATATAATTTCAATCATGAAAATACCAAATAGTTACATCGCAACTACCGTGTGCCAGGCACAGGCTATTCACAAATGTTTATTCCTTTCATCAGTCCAACAATGCTTTAAGATAAGTACAATTACTATGACCCCTGCTTTAAAATGTAAAAACTAAGGCACAGAAAGGTTAAGTAATTTGCCCAAGGTCACAGAGTGTGCCAATGGGAGAGCCAAGATTTAAACTAGCAAGTCTGGCTCTAAGTCACAGCACTATACTTAAGCTAACTCAAATGTGCAGAGCTCTGGGAAGAGGTACAGTATCTTAGGTGTTTTATCTCTGGGAAAAAGCAAGTTTATGATGCTTTGATTGGCAAATGTGTTAAAGTGGCTTTTCATATCCTAGGCATCATCCAGAGAACTTCTGGATTTAAGAAAGATAAGCCCTAGATTACATTGCACAACAACATGAATGTACTTAACCACATCGGGACGAGGGTCGACTACAGTCGACAGCCACAGATGAACAGGCTCTGTGACTTTAGCCGACAGCCATGATATGACTTTTCTAATTTTTCATTTATCTAAATAAAATTGTGAACATTTAAAAATAACGTAATGAGGCCAGGCACGGTGACTCATGCCTGTAATCCTAGCATTCTGGGAGGCCGAGGCGGGAGGATCGTTCAAGGTCAGGAGTTCGAAACCAGCCTGACCAAGAGTGAGACCCTGTCTCTACTAAAACAAAAAGAAATTAATTGGCCAACAAAAAACATATAGAAAAATTAGCCGGGCATGGTGGTGTGTGCCTGTAGTCCCAGCTACTCAGGAGGCTGAGGCAGCAGGATCGCTTGAGCCCAGGAGTTTGAGGTTGCTGTGAGCTAGGCTGACGCCACGGCACTCTAGCCCAGGCAACAGAGTGAGACTCTGTCTCAAATAAATAAATAAAAATAACATAATGAAAACATATATGAATATGTTACCTATTCTGATTTACATTACAAGTAAAGCTGCCTGTAAAGTAAAACAAGCTTTCAGTGCTTTAAAGCTTTCCTCATCACACAAGAGCAAAACAGATTCGTCGTCAATGCACAGCACAAACTATTGTGCAGACTATGAGTGCCGGCTGTGGGCAAGGTTTCGCAGTGGGTGAGCGCTGTACCAAAGGGGTTAATGCCACTGAATCGTACACAAAACATAGTTAAAATGGCCAGGCACAGTGATACGTGGTTATAGTCCCAGCTACTCAGGAGACTTAGGCAGGAGGATTGCTCGAGCCTAAGAGTTCTGGGCTGTAGTGCCCTATGCCAATCAGGTGTCCACAGTAAGTTCAGTATCAATATGGTGACCTCCCAGGTTGCCTAAGGAAGGGTGAATCTGCCCAAGTCAGAAGCAAAGAGGTCAAAAATCCTGTGCTGATCAGTAGTGGGATCATGCCTGTGAATAGCACCTGCACTCCAACCTAGGCAACACAGTGAGACCTGGTCTTTTAAAAAAAAAAAAAAAAAAGATTAAAATGGCAAATTTTATGTTCTGTATATTTTACCACAATTTTTTTTTTTTTTTTTTTTTTTTTGAGACAGAGTCTTGCTTTGTTGTCCAGGCTAGAGTGAGTGCCGTGGCGTCAGCCTAGCTCACAGCAACCTCAAACTCCTGGGCTTGAGTGATCCTTCTGCCTCAGCCTCCCGAGTAGCTGGGACTACAGGCATGAGCCACCATGCCCAGCTAATTTTTTTTTATATATATATCAGTTGGCCAATTAATTTCTTTCTATTTATAGTAGAGACGGGGTCTCGCTCTTGCTCAGGCTGGTTTTGAACTCCTGACCTTGACCAATCCGCCCGCCTCGGCCTCCCAAGAGCTAGGATTACAGGTGTGAGCCACAGCGCCCGGCCCACAATTTTTTTTTAAAAGTGAAGAAAGACAAGCCCTAAGCCTTGGTCTTCTATTCAGTTTATCTTACAAATATTTCATTCCTTGGGCCATTTCAGGAGACAATTTCATGAAACTATCACTCTGTCCAATCCTGTTCATAAAGTACATGAACTCTTTCAACCTTGATTCAATAATATTAAATATTTAGCAAGCATTTCCTGTGTGTAAAGCACTGAATTGGGCACAGGGAAAGCAACAGTGAGTAAAACACAGTGGCTGCCTTCCATAATAATTATGACTACAGGGTCTCCCCTTTCCAGACCCTTATTCTGTGATGAACTCTCATAGCAACTCCCGGCCATGGTTGGCACTATTACCCACATTCGATAGATGAGGAAACCCAGGTTGGAAGAGGCAAAGTATCTTCCCACCAGCCCAAAGCTAGGAAGAGGTGGGAATTCAGGACTCACCCAGGTCTCACTGAGTCCAAATCCCACACTCATAATCCCCGGGCTTCTGCTACTTGTAACTCAGGTGATGTAATGTATTACCTGTAACTACCGGCCAGGGTGTGGTGATGCCACAGGAGCCCCAAGGAACAAGGGATGACTCGAGGTAGGGCTGCCCTGGAGAAGGAGGTATTTGATCTAGGCCTGGAAGGTACAAATAGAATACAGGCACCGGAAGTAAAACTTAAACTTTTATCCTAGTACTCCTCCTACTCCAGGGAAATACTTGAACCGAGTTGCAGAGAGGAGATGGCGTGCAGTGTGGGCATTTGTACTCCCACTTCCTCCCACTCAGAACGCAATTACTGGGGGCAGGCTGATGGTGAGTTGACTGTAGTAGAATAAACACTTCCTAACAATCTCTTTCCTGATTGGTTGCAGCCAGAGAGTCTACTTGGGCTGATCAAAATCCTGACAGTCTTTCATGAATGTGGGTGTCTACTACCGCCCTGGGGACAAAGAGGAAACACTGGACTGTTTCTCTTTAGTCTCACCTTGGACGGGAGTCGGGGTAGCAGTGGTTGGTCTTCTTTTCCACCCAGGCTCTGGTCCACGTCCCCCACCCTGTGCTCAGGGAGACTTTATAAGAGCAAAGCGTCCTGACCAAGCGATTGGCGTAAGTGGTGGGGGAGGGGGAGGGAGGACTGGTGGAGAAGACTCGGGGCGCTGAAACTTCCACCTCACCCCCTGAGGGGCCTCAAAATGTCCTGAGGGAGCAGGTCCTTTAGAGTGGCCACCCCCGCTTCCAGGACCCCCTTCCCCCCACCTTTATCCATACACTCCAGACCGCCCCAGAACTGGTCTCATGCAGTATAAAGGCGTATAGTGAAGCTAAGTTCCGAGGAGGGAGATTTCTTCTGGGAAGAGTCCCAGCAGAGATTTTCCAAACAGGAGACTGCAGCTAGACAAGTGAAATGCCACCCAGTTTGTGTTCTCTGTGCTGTACGACGGAAGAACGGCGGCAGCGAGGTAATTCTGGGGGCGCAAAACCTCAAAGCTCCATAAGATGGCGGTATTTCCTAAAAGAGTTAAATTAACACCAGATTGGCTAGGGAACTAGGTGGACGTGGTTAAATTTGAGTATGGTATTTTTAATGCTGATTTTTAAAAAAGAACCAAAGCAGAAAGGCTTTTAATTTCTCATTCAGAGGTTAGTTTGTTGTTTCTAGGACAAAAAATAGAAAGAAAATTGCTTTAGTATTTGATTTAATAAATTTTCAAAAGGGAAGCATATTAGCCACATCTATAAAAATCTATAGTGAGGCAAGGAACAAGGAATGCCACTGATATCAATGTATGTAAAAAGGGAGTTCAGTTAAAGTAGAAATTCATCCTAAATTAATCTATGAAAACATATTCAGTGTAGGCCGGGCACGGTGGCTCACACCTGTAATCCTAGCACTCTGGGAGGCTGAGGCAGGCAGATTGCTCAAGGCCAGGAGTTCAAAACCAGCCTGAGCAAGAGCGAGACCCGTCTCTACTATAAATAGAAAGAAATTAATTGGCCAACTAATATACATAGAAAAAATTAGCCAGGCATGGTGGTGAATGCCTGTAGTCCCAGCTATTCGGGAGGCTGAGACAGAAGGATCACTTGAGCCTAGGAGTTTGAGGTTGCTGTGAGCTAGGTTGACGCCACGGCACTCTAGCCTGGGCAACCAAGTGAGACTGTCTCAAAAAAAAAATATATGCAGTGTAATCACCATATCAAAATCTCAGGGGCCCTTTTTACATAATTTGGCAAAGTGATCCAAAAGGTTATACGGGCCGGGCACGGTGGCTCACGCCTGTAATCCTAGCTCTCTGGGAGGCCGAGGTGGGCGGATTGCTCAAGGTCAGGAGTTCAAAACCAGCCTGAGCAAGAGCGAGACCCCGTCTCTACTATAAATAGAAAGAAATTAATTGGCCAACTGATATGTATATAAAAAATTAGCCGGGCATGGTGGCGCATGCCTGTAGTCCCAGCTACTCGGGAGGCTGAGGCAGGAGGATCGCTCGAGC